GCATTCACTCTATTCCGTAACGTTACTCTCGAGAACCCACTGTTTTTATTGCATGTATGGTCGCTTACTGAATGCAATTTGACAGAACCGGTATGAAAATATTCAAAAACAGAGGACATCATAAGACCACCAGCTCCAAAAAGTGTAGGGTATTTTGACAACGTCTCTAAAACATGACCCATTTTGATCGGTCCTTTGATTGACATAGACTCGAGAACCCATGTTTCTTATTGCATTTAATGAAAGAAAATAATCGCATTTTCTTATAAAATGCGTGAAAATGTTCAAAATCAGAGGACATCGATGTGCCACAGCCCAATGAAAGTCCTACTCGATCTAACTGCGCTCCAACATGCTGAACATCGTATCAGCATTCACTCTATTCCGTAACTTTACTCTCGAGAACCCACTGTTTTTATTGCATGTATGATCGCTAACTGAATGCAATGTGACAGAACCGGTATGAAAATATTTAATAATAGAGGACACCATAACAGTTAGTACCAGCCCCTAAATGTGTACAGTATTTAAACGAAGTCTGTATTATACGAGTCATTTTGATCGGTCTTTTCCTTCACTTTGACTTGAGAACCTATGCTTTTTATTGCGCGAAATGAATGAGAGTCATCGCATGTTCATTGTTCCTATTGAATGCATTATAATATGCAAAATCAGGGGACATCGATGCGTTTCAGCCCGGTGAAATGCCCAGTTGATGAATAGCTGGTTGGCTCATTTTAACACTGCGTCGGCATTTACACAGCTTCCGAACGATATGCCTGATAAGAGAACATGAATTCTTAGGTATTGCGAGCTGTGGGGCCTGTCCCTGTGTTCATACGCTATACCCATTCTGGCATAAAGAAGACATTCTTAGCTTGTAAAGATGTGTAGTAAAAATAGGTTTTTGGTCTTCTCATTATGTTTAAGTGATATTTCATTTCAAGTTGCGTGTAGAGGGATTTATTTTCAGTGTTTTTTAGAAAATAAGGGTGAATTAGCTGTTAAAACCAACACTTATATAACTACAAGCTTGGATAGTAGTTTCTTGGGTTAAAGTTTTCACTACAGGGATGAAACTTTTGCACTACAATGACAAAAACGTCATCAAACGTCATCAGATATCGTTGATTTTCTGAGAGAGCACTTCCGGCAGAAGAAAACGCATTACACAAAATAATCGAAGTGTCTTCACTTGTTATTTATTACACTATGATATGATGCAATGCTCCTCACAGACTCAGTGACGTCTGGGAACTTCTCAGGAGACAGGTGGGGCATTCCACGATAGATCGTACCAGGCCCGTCACCCTCATCTCTAAGATTTTAATGAAAATCCGTCCTAGGGGTAATCATAGGCCCCAAAGACGCCTGGCAAAATATCAGACTTCTCAGATCAAAACTTTTTGAGTTATATTGCATTACATTTTTTTTTAACTTTGGTTTGTAACGGTGAGTTTGATGGCATATAACTCAAGAACGGGTTAAGCTACCAACAAACAGTAAACAACACTAAGCTTGCGATGAATCAAAAATTAATATTACCATTTAAAAATTCAAAAGAAAAATTTTCATTGTTTAATGACCTTTGGGACCAAAATTTTTCAATTTTTTTTTTATTTTTCAAAATAAACTTCATGTCATTGCAAATCGACATGCAAAATTAGAAAGGTGTTCTTTCTATAAAATCCTCATTTTCCCGCAAACAAAATGGGTTTCGGAGGGGTTGATACGACCCCAGCACGCCGTTTCGCTTCTAATAGAGCTAGAGCTTCGCGGAAAAACCAGCGTGTGTGCCGCAACAAGTTGCAGCGATTGGTACCCGATTTTAAGATCTCAATTTAACCGGTAGCGTCTGAGGTCAGGTCAAGTGACTGAAGTTACGGGTTCGGTTTTTAGTAAATAGCTTCGCAAAAAATGGACGCAGAGCCGCGATTTTGGCAGCATTGTCTTCGCCTAGCTCAGGTGCATCGAATGGTATTTTTTTTTTTGCTAGGGTGAGGTCAACTTAAGTAGTTGACCTCGGATCAAGGTCAAGTCAGAGCCCCTCAGGTCACGAAGCTGGGCAAAGGGTATCATATGGCATATCATTCGATTCGGAAGGTCTTCCCGAGTCCATTGGTGGCCTTTCCGACTTTCTAGCTCCATTTGATCGAGAGTTATTGACGAAAAACTCGTACAACCCTAGTGACGTCATAAATGACGTCACGCAAGGTTACCAATGCAAAAGAAAAGCATTGGACTTTGCAAGAAGAGCATGAAATCACGATACCATGTACGTGGGATAGTTTTAGATCATTCTCGGCGCCAAAATAACAGTTTTTTATATTTCCCCATTGACTTATAACAGTGATGTCACGTGACCGACCTGACCTCACGTAACCTTCAAAATTCCCAGATATACAAGTTGTGAGACCTCTGGAGGACACCATGTATGCGTCCTGTAACTTGCATCTCGGACAGATATGGTCGTTGGCGTCCAAAACAATTTCAGAACCAAACAGTCTTTTTCACCCTCGCGCTTATAGGAAAGAGGGTTGGATGAACCCTCTTTTCACTTTTTTCAGATGACTCAGACTTCAATTGAAATTTCAGTAACCCGTGATGTCACTAGGCAGCTTTACCACGCCATTTGTAAGCTCCCCTCCCGAAATCACTATTCGAAACCGTTATCGTGACGTAAAATAAATACCTTAATAGAAAGAACACCTTCCTAATTTTTTGCATATTTGTTGACAATGAGCCAAATATTTTTTTAACCCGCGCCCTGCTGGGGGTCCTGGATTTCCACGCCCTGCTGGGGGGGGTGTTTGAACACCCCCCCCCCCCTTCTAACTCGGCTCCTGGGCCACGTAGCGATACGCGGAAGGCGGCGTTCGAAAGAGCGTCAAAAATAATGAGGAAATCACTTCGGTCAATTTTTTGGTCAGGTCAAAGGTCAGGTCACCAGAGGTCATTGAAGGCAAAATTTCGCCGATTTCCAGGTCGAATGTCGACAATTTCCAAGAAGCCAACGCATAACTCGGGAACCAATAGAGCTACAGCGCCGCGGAAAAGCGCATTCGATAGCTCTACTAACGCCCTTTCTGAATAATTTTCTCAGATTTGACCTAACCTCATCGGTTTTGCCTGCAGGGGGCAAAAACTGCAAAAATAGCCGATTTTTTTCGGAAACAGTTTTTCTGCAATAACTTTTGACCCAAGCCTTGTACGAGCTTACTTTTACCGGCATCGTGTTCCTCTCGTCAAGACGCATCGAATGAACTATAATTTGACCTTGAAAGGTCATTTTGAAAATTTGACCTCAGGTCAAGGTCATGACCTGACCAGAAAGGGTAATGTTGCATATCAGTCGATCCGTATCTTCGAGCTGAACACATCTAAGGCGTTTTTATCGCTCTAGCATGCCTCTATCAAAAGTTATTTGCGAAAAACTGTTAGATACCATTCGTGACCTAAGATGACCTCAGGGCATAAACAGGGGTCACGGACACCATTTTCATGTTCAGTGTGTCTAAACCACTTGTAATTCAGTGTTTGGGAGTGTTTATAATGTCTTTCGTCCAAAAGTGGCGCATTTCAATTTTCTCCCATTGACTTATAATGGGGAGGTCGCAAAATTGACCTGACCTTAAGTCATCGATATCAAAATTCTGAGATATACATTTTGTACATACTATTGCTCTTAGCAATCGCTTAAAGTTTCAAAGCGATCGGTCACTCGGTGTAGCTATGACAGACATTGAAACTTTTTATGTGGTGAGGTCACTTCAAGTGACCTGGTGACCTGACCTTGAATGACCTTGGTCTGAAATTTTCACAACATGTGTAGAATTGATGTATGATAAGGTGTACCAAAAACGGCGGCGCTCCGCGCCGCCTTTTTGAGATACCTATACGCGAAAAACCACAAGGGGGGTGTTCAAACACCCCCCCCCCAGCAGGGCGCGGGTTAAAGAAATAAAAATGAAAAAATTGGTCCCAAAGTCCGAAAAATACAAATGAAAGAAAACTCGATATGTCATATATCAAAAATAGTGTATTTTTCGAAATTTCAAAAATACATATTAATCTCTGTTTCATTGCAAGTTCAATGCTATATAACATTTGGCATTTGAATAATCCGTCTTAGAGTTACAGCCCGCCAAACTCAGCGCTGCAAAGCAAGATCCAAAACATGTTATACACCATAACTCAAAAAATACTTATCTGATAAGCCTGAAATTGTTACAGGTGGATTCAGAGCCCCTGATTACCCCTGAGACCAATTCTCGTCAAATTCCGAGAGATGAGGGTGTCAAATTGGAAAAAAGTGGTACGATCTATCGTGGAATGCCCCAGGTAGTCACTCAACGCGGACCCCGGACTTTTATTTCTCAGAGCTTTCAGAAGTCTCCCGAGTTCTCTCATTTTGGTACTTATATAGTGTTTCTGGTGTGCTTCATGACCCAGCTTTGAAGTGGAGCTTTTCGCCATACTTCAAAATCATTGGGTCCGTCTTGCATATCAGAGATATCTCATCCACAATCATGCTGTCTAGGACTCGCTTCAGCCCCTCTGATGTTCCCTGGTTAGGAGGAATCAGGCTTCTGACGCGGACCTGTACACGCCCACGACTGGTTTTGCCACTCTTCTTCCCGCAGTTTCTCTTATGGTGCCACAGAGTTTTGCGAAAGAAGAAGGCTTGTCAGTCCTCACAGACCAGGAAGTCATCCATATCTTTTGCGCCGGAACTGCTATCACCAGCCGCTCTACCCCATGGCACGAGCTCTCCGTCCTTAGCTCCCCTTCTCACCTTCATGCTGTGGATGTAATTACCCTTGTTTTTCAGCTCCTGGAACGCTTCGAATCGCTATTTCGAACGTTTTTTCATTGCTAAAATTCGCTGCACTTCTACATCAGAGGCGTGATGGCGCTCCAAATGTCGCGCCATCTTCATGACCATTCGTTCGCAGAAATAGCAAGCATTCTTACGGTCCCAAACGCGCTTGGAGGAGGTGTTACCTGTGCTTCAGATGTCCCTGGCTGTTCACAACATGTTCCAGAAGCAGCTCCAGGCGACGTGAAAAGAAAACGCCAGCGACGTGCGGGTTTCTCACGACGCGGCCGTTCCTGCCACCATCATCAACGACGATGTCGTCCACCGCTGCACCTTCTTGCTGCATCATCAGGAGCTGCAGGTCAGGCCAATGAAGGTCGGCTGCGCTGGTCGTCAAGAAGAAGGTGGGCATGCCAACCTCTTCTATGAGGTCCAGCAGCTCGAATCGTCGAGCGCGCTTCCATTGTGGGGTACCGCGCAGGCTGCTGGCGAAGTAGTGCAGCTGGTGTTCGATGGTCCTGTTCCCGCCAGCCAGCACCTGTTGCAGCTCCTCAGCCGAGATGCCTCTAGCCTCCTCGTCTCTTTTCATAAATACACGCCCGGTCTGGGCTGCTCGTTTTTGCTGGAGAAGGTTCCACACATAATATCTGAACCTCGGGTGACATGCGTAGCGGCCATCCGCGAGCGACATCAGGTGAGCCAGCCACTCTCCATACTCCACGCGTTTTGTTCTGGGGCAGGTCGGGTCTACATGGCTGATGTCAGCAGAGGCCTTCGGTAAGAAGGTGGGGAACGTCTGGGTGAACAGTCCGATGTGACTATATTCGTTCACCGGCTGCTGTCCTCTCCGCGGCCATTCCAGTAGCGGTTCGGCGTTGCGCCCCACGGCCTGAGCAATGCGCTCGAGCTCAGTTTGCTGTGGCCTTAGCTGGTCCACGGCCGTGACGGTGGTGGCCTCCTCCCGGTCAACATCTCCGGCAGCCATGTCTGCGCCGCCGCCAGGCGCCTCCTCTTGCCAGTCCAGGTCGTCGTCTCCATCATCCTCCAGCTCAGGCAGGTTGTCCGGGACTCCGTCTTCAGGTAGCTCGGTGATGCTTCAGGTAGACTGATGATGATGTCCCTGTAGTACGGGTTGTTCTGCTGAAGCCAGTGTAGAGCTGCTGCTACTTTTGCCTGCCGCACCCGGTAGTCGCGTTGGGTGTTGTTTATCCCCCGCTTCCTGATGAGCAGCACACCTGTGTCCGATGGGCGTCTGGACAGCTCGACGGCGAGGCTTTCCAGCTCCTGTGGGAATGCGATGCCGTGGTTTGAGTAGCCGTACTGGCCTCCACCACGGAGGCGGCAGACGTAGATGTTGGGCAGCACCTTACTAATCAACATTTCCTCCAGGAAAGTGAGGGAGCTCAATTCCTCCGGCACGGCGTCAGGAATCATACCGTTAGCGGCCGAAAATGTATGTGGCATCGCCCCCTCCCGATGACAACGGGCGCAGGTGCCGGATGTATTTATCTTGCTGCCGGAGAGGATGTCCACTTCGTGGCAGATGGTAGAGGTCTTGGTAGAGCGTAATGCACTCACTGCAACTACGAAGGGATGCATGCTTTGTCTTGTTCGTGCAGGCTCCGAGAACGAACGGAATCTGTTGCGGAGGTGGATGTCCGCGTGCGTGCCTTCAGCACGGCGCCTCTGGGAGCGCTGGCGTTGGTCCAGTTCGTCTGTGCCTTCGGCACGGCGCCTCTGGGAGCGCTGTTGCTGATTTAGCTCGTGCGTGCCTTCGGCGCAGCGCCGTTGGGACCGCTGTTGTTCGTATGCAGTGTTGTCTGCATCTCGGCGCAGCTGGGAGATGTCTCTCAGTTGGTCACGGCGTGCCTCGCGGTAACGCCGCCGGCGCTCAATGGCTAACCTCCGACGTCTCTCCGCAGGTGTCTCTGAGTCAGCAGGCACCGGGCCCACTTCCATGATAGAATAGGATGTGTCTAACCAAGTGGATATGATTGATCCAGGGATATGTATAATCTGCCAAGGAAAGAGGAATAGTATGTAATAAGTATGTATGAATGAATTATGTAAGTATGTATGTATGTATGAATAGTATGTAAGCCAAAGTTAATGGCGCTCCGGTATATAACGAAGAGAAATAAGAGTTTTAAATACATGCAGACATCCATCCGAGGCCTCTTGCACCAAACTACCTACCCAGGTAAATTCAGATTTTACCTAGATTCTCTTGCACTAAACTACCTACCAAAAAACGCTACCGTGAAAATTTACGTAGAAATTCTACCGAGCGGCATAAGAACTTACCAATTGTTAAAGTCCGACTGGCTGTTTTCCTCTTGCACCGAAAGCCGGAAAGAAGTACTCGCGGAGGAATTTTTGACGGTTTGACGGTAAACGCGGGCTTCCAAAATAACTAGCAAAACCTTAGGTAAAATGATTCAATTAGTAACAATAGGCACAATACATGATAATCAACGGGTACTTTTATGTAAATTAGGCATTACAAAATGTTTAGACAATGGTAAATCAATATTTTATGAGTGAATAATAATATTATTGACCAAATGCTCCATGGGTTCACAGAGGTGCTTCTCCGTACCAAGGCGATAAACCTCCGTAGCAGAACAGCCAGGTTGAAGACTCACGTCGTTGCCATGGAAACGAAGCTTATTTGTTCAAGTAATTTAATATCAAAATAACTTCTATCGGTATTTGCGTAAATGAAAAATGATTTCATAATCCCAAAATGTATTTTAATAAAAACAATATCCAATTAATTGTTTTCTTTATTTACTATTTGTTTGCGCCCACAAATAATTCGTCGCCAAACAGCCAATCAAAACAAATCCTATAAACGCGAGCTGTCAAATTTACCTAGGTAGGTAGGTAGGATGGTGCAAGAGAAGCTACCGCCGTAGGTAGTTTTACTAGGTAGGTATTTTGCCGATTCACGTGCACGTGCAGAATGCCACTTCCAGATCCCAGGAACGGCTGGGCCGATCGCGTAGCGACCGGTTAGAAGGGTGCCTTGCATAAGTCCGTTGGAAGTACCCTCTCGCCCTTCCGCACGTGCAGGGCTCACTAGCTCGCTCGCTCGTTCTTCGCCCAAAAGGCGTTTTACTGGTAACATAAGGCGACGTTCGAGTTTTTTAGGCTCAGTTTCTGCCCGTTTCGCTGGCTAAAACGCGTGCTTAGTTGAAAAACATACTTTTTCGGACTTTTCGAGCGAGCGAGCGCAGCGAGCGAAGCGAAATCTTTTCAATGTAACGGAAAAATCTCAGTATGAGCGGCCCGGCCCGGCCCGGCCCGGCCTGTAACGCTTTTGAGAGGCTTATATCTCAGCAACCGCTGGACCGAATGGCCTGCGGTCTTTTTTGCTGGGTAGCCCCATCCCTTCTACCCCGTAATTGACTACTTTTGATACATCTCAGTGACCGTCGTGGCACGTGCCAGCTGGGAAGCTGGGGCATAAACTTCTCTGTCGGTGGGGATAGAGGGTAGCGGGGAGGGGGAAAGAAAGGGTTACGTCGGCGCCGACGATTGGCTGTTTTGCCCCGGGCTTTCCGTGCGCAGCCGCCAGCCGGCGCCACCGTCGGAAGGCCGGCCATGCTGATTGACAGAGGCGTCGTCAGGTGAGAAGCTGTGGAGAGTCGTTCAGCCGACGCTGGACCAGAGGGTGTAACGCTCTTATAGTAGGTGAATACCACCGCTGAAAGTTTTGCAGCATGTTGCAAGGGCTCAGAAAGTCGTATTCTAATGAAGAAACGAATGAGCCTAAGTTTTGAGCCTAGCATAGTTACAGGTGACGAAGATTAATGAAACTTTGGTCACATATTTTGCCAGTATTTAATGTGAAAGTTTGAATGTGTTTGTTATCGTCAGTATGTATTATGTAATAACACAGAAGCTATGTCCAACTGATCATTGCTTATTGAACGACCTAATTACGGAGCGAGCGAAGCGAGCGTAGTCTTTCCTGATTAACGGAAATTTCTGAGTATGAGCGGCCGGCCGTGGTCACGCTTTTGCGAGGCTTATATCTCGGCAACCACTTGACCGATTTACATGCGGTAAATTTTGTAGGGTAGCTTCATTCCTTCTACCAAGTATTGGACTATTCCCGATGCATGTGGGTGACCCCTTATGCACGTGCCACGTGCAAAACGAAGAGGTGTCAGTTTTGTAATTGTTGCAATATCTCGGTAACTACTTGGCCGATTGCGCTGAAAGTTGGCATGTAGGTAGGCACCCACTAGGCACTGCATATCCATGTGCCAGAGTTGGGGTGCTGCTGCACGTGCGCACGTGCAGGGGTCGTTTCCAGATCTCGAGAACGGCTCGACCGATTGCGCTCAAATTTGGTACACAGTTAGGGACCGGTTAGTAGGGTGCCGTGCACAAGTCAGTTGGGACCCATTTTGCACGTGCGCACGTGCAGGGTGCCGCTTCCAGATCTCGAGAACGGCTGGGCCGATTGTGCCCAAATTTGGCACATCGCTAGAGACCGGTTAGTAGGGTGCCGTGCACAAGTCAGTTGGAGGTACCCCCTCGCAATTTCGCACGTGCAAGGCCCACCCTCTCGCTCGCTCCGTTAGTCGCCCCAAAAGGCGTTATACTGGTAATAAAGATCTCAACGTAACTGAGTAGACCTCACCCGGTCCATGTTCCAAATACAGGGCCCGGCGAAAGTTTAGTCCTCTACCTATGACAACAGTTACCCGGTTCCCAATCTAAGGCATAACGGGGGTTTTGGCATGATGTCAAGGTCAGATCAGGTCTGACCAGGTGAAAACGCTTAAACTACGCATACAAGCTGCACCCCTGCATTGCACGGTCATTGGCCTAAAAACTGAAGTGAACGGATCTCGGGCCATGGGTCACCGAACTACGGCCAGTTTCACACAGATTGTCCACCCGAACGGCAGCGTCGCAGAATGAAGGTCAGAAATTTCTGCATCGGGAAGCTGAACAAGACATTCGGTATCCTCCAGGCCGAACTGACACAGCATGCCATTGCTGATCAGTTGGGACATCTGCCTGCAATTGCATAGTCCGGCGATGGTGGGATAAACATACGGCTACTGGCAGTGACGCCGATCATCCCAGGTCGGGCGTTCGCCCACCATTTCGACCGTGACAGAAATCGCATTTTAAAAGGCGGTCGGGAAGAGGAGCCAGTTGTTGACAAAATTGGCCAAGCGGCTCACGCGCAAGGACTATCTCATCTCCAGACAGACCGTGAGACGCTATTAGAAGAGCTCTCTGAGGCCCATTACTTACAGCTACAAGAGCCTCCAGCGGCTCCGAGTTCTGTTCTGAATCGACGCACGTTTGATGACAGGTCGACATGCATTTTCGTGCAGGACGGACTCAAACGGCTCATCGTTCTGCCAAGGCCCAGCGGTGGTGCGAACTGCGAATCGAACCTGCCGGACTTCTGAAGGAAGGAGGTGTTAGCCGGCTACCATCCGGACCAAATCCTGATCGAGCTATCGTCCAGCAGGGCCTGAACAAACAGAAGCCGGCGGCCAGCCCCGGCGCCCTGCAGTTACAGCTCAAAAGGGAATGGTCGAAAAGCAAGCCGTCTGTGCTGCATAACCTGATTGCCAGCAGACCAAATCGTGCTTGTGCTCAAATCCCTGTTCGTGGGGAATATAGGTGCTGAACGTTAAAATGAATTACATATATGGCATCTTACAGAGTTTTTAACATATTTTTGATACGACAAAACTCATGCCAGACCCGATATAGACACGCAACTAAAATGAGATGAGTGTGTACGTACAATACGTTACCTACACTGATACCAAAATGAGTTGTGGGTACACTGCTGCTAACCTGGTTGTCAGCATGACAAATTGCGTTTGTGTGTAAATCCCTGTTTATGGGAAACATACTGAACGTTAAAAGGAATCGCCACCTTTTATGTAGAAACTCGCAGATGATATTTTTGAATAGAACAAAACTTTGCCGGACCCGGCCGGAATAGACCTGCAACTACATAAAATGAGATGTACATTGCTGCAACTAAAATGAAATGTTCACTACCTTTTCGCCACTTTCTAAACGTGTCCTCTTCCTTGCAAAAGCTCCTCTGGCATTGAATGCGCTGGAGACAGCAATATTTTGGGACCGAGCAGATTCACTTATGATGTCACAGATCAGTGACCTCACCCTACCTGAAAATGAAATTGTTGCCAAAAGGTCCTGTCTGAGTCAAATGTCAGTTAGGCCACCTTTCAGCTATCTAACGTGTTCCGTTCAAAGGTGAAAGAACTGTGAAATGCATGACACCAGAATGAGCTTAACCCGCGCACCGACGGGGGGGGGCGGATATCCGCCCCCCCCTGAGGTTTTTCGCGAATAGCGGGAAAACCGCGGCGCGTAGCGCCGCGAAATTTGGTATGACTATTCCCTTATCAATTTTACACATGGTGTGCAAATTTGAACCTCCTACCTTTCAAGGTCAGGTCACCAGGTCACTTTGAATGACCCAACCTCAAGTTACTTTTTTGCAACTTTGTCACCGTGCCAGAGCTACAGTAGATGTCGGAGGCCTTTGAAAGTCGCAGGATGTTATTAGGTCATTAGTAGCTACAATTTGTATATCTCGGAATTTTGATATCGGTGACCTAAGGTCAGGTCAATTTCGCGACCTCCCCATTATAAGTCAATGGGGGAAAAATCAACTCCCTGTTTTTACCACTAAAACGGGTCGGAATGGCCCCATATACCATACATGACTTCATATACGATCAACCTTCACTACCTTGAGGTCTGTTTTGCTGTTGGGCAGCTGTGAGGTCACGTGACGTCATCAAAGGTCACCAAAGGTTTTTGGCCAATAACTCCGTACAGGAACAAGATACAGACGCGTGGATGGTCTCATTGTGTTCAGCTCGTCAAGACGCATCGAATGATATACATGATGACCTCGAGGTCACGTGACCTGAGGTCAACCTTTGACCTTGACCTTTCGAGGTCAACATATATATCATTCGATGCGGATTGACGAGAGGATCACGATGATGCCCTTAGTTTGTTCCTATCTTGACTAATTCGAAAGTTATTCGAGAAAAACTCTCTCCATATTTAGCGCCGCCATTTTGACTTTTTCGACCCCTGTGACGTCATCTTTGACCTGACCTGAAAATGACCTTAGTAAAAATTGTAGATCTTGACCGTGCGTATCCGATGCCGTTTACCGCTTGTCGCTATCTTGCTTCGTTCTCGAGATCTCAGGGGGGGGCGGTCATCCGCCCCCCCCCGTCGGTACTAAGTTGGCGCAGACCCCCGTCGGTGCGCGGGTTAACCCTCGCCCGTATTGGTGTTTTTCCAGCCGCGAACGTATAGGGGGGGGGGGGGATCAACGGACCTCCCCTTGCCGTTTCGCCCCTGATCGAGGTAGAGCTTCGCGGGAAAAAACGAGCGTGTTGCCCGTGACGAGAGAAAGCTGAAGATACCCAATTTTAAGGTCCTAGGTCATTGGTTGACCTTCCAGGTCAGGTCAATGACCCAAAAGTCGGGAAAATCGGGACTTGTTAGAATGTCTGCTATGGTATTTTTTCGGGGTGCTGATCACAAATATCATGTTAGTTTTGATCACAGATGATGTATTCACGCATTTAGGCCAGGTCGGGTAGGGTCAGGTCAACCAGTAGGGGTGCTGCCGGGTATTCGTAGTAGGTGTCAACCGCCTCTGACAGCTTCGTAGCATGTTACGAAGGCACCAAAACTACTTCGTAAACGTTCATATGGTTGTTAATTTCTAATTCAGCTAAAAAAAAACTGGCCTAGAAACATGTAAAACTCGAAAAAGTGAACCGAGGTCATCAAAGGTCAATGACTTGACCTAACCTTCAGGTGACCGACACCCACCCTAATGCATGGGGCCAACATCATTTCAGATGTTTGAACGCTTGAAACTACGAAAAGACTGCAAACGCGCCGCTAATGCGAGCCGACATACGCCGAATCGCGATTCCGGCCAAACATGGTCTCGAAAAGTACCATGTCGAAAAGTAGGTCACAGGTCAAAGGTCATTTGGGTCAGGGTCATGAAATTTTCAGGGTAGGTGTAAAATTGATCAACTCATAGGTACTGAAAGTTTCGTCGCAATCGGCCGTTTTTTACGCGAGTTATTCGCGAAAAACCGAGGGGGGTCCATTCGACCCCCCCCCTATACGGGCGAGGGTTAAAGTTAAAGTTAGCTAGCGCATGACGGGGTTATTCTCCATAACGCAGCTGACTGGGGTGTTGGTGGTGGGGGTGGGGGGTGGGGTGGGGGGTTGATCTACAGAGCCTCCCTCCTATATCCGAAGCTGCTAGGCTGATTGTCAAAATTCAAATAACGTCTGATAGCCATGGAAAAAGTACAAACTGTCTTGTGAAACCTAATTTCATTGCCCTTGAGATCACCGATGACGTCACAAGTCAGGTCAAAGTAAAAATCATCAATAGTTTGGCTTGTTCACCATTTAGGCTCTGACCGCCGGCTGCCTCGCCAGACCAGGCTCATTTTTGTTTTACATACTCATTGATATATGCCTAAGATACCCTGAGGGTATCAAACTTGTACTAAGGATTTGTCATGTCAAGGTCAGGTCATCATAGGTCACGTAAATTTTATATCACGCATCGGTTACGTGACACATGTTTTATGGTTCATTTCAGCAACATATTTCCAAAACAGTCGTCTGTGTCAATTGATGCCATTTTCAGCTGCATTTAGCTGAGGTCAGGTCACGTTCAGGTCAAAAAGGTCAAATTTTCAAGTTATAAATTTTCAACAAGTAAGTTGTTTACCAGATGCAGTTTGAGCTCAGGAATACGTTGCGGTGCTATTCATTTTGGTCTGCGATGTTGAAAACGTATACTGAAAAATTGTTTTGAGAAAAAATTGATAATGGTGAAATGCTGACTACAAAGTGTATAACTTAGCTATTTTTGAAGATATTGGTCCAAAACTTCTTAGAGTAGATTTGGGGTCGGCAACTCACGGTTCCGGTTCCGGCTGGTCGGATCCGGTCCGCAACCATCTGACGTCCGGCCCATGGCTGGTAATCAGCAACTAAGATTGTGTTCCGGCCCGCGGTCAATTCAGAAATATACTTTTCCATGCAAAAGTGACTAAAGTGTGCGTTGACACAATAGTCTTTCCTACACTATCTGATATTTATGTAGGTATAGGTATCTAATCAGATAATAGAATAGGCACAAACATTCCTTTTATTGTGAAAAGCGATAATGTGAACACATATATATTGCACAAACCGGTTTCGATATCACTTCATCAGTGTGCAAATATATAAATAAAACACACAAAAACAAAATACAAAACGGAGACGAAATAGGTACAGCACGTACAGCAGAGCAAATTAATTTCAAATACATTCATATGACCTCATGTGATTGAGATCCCAAGACGCTTCCGCACCAAAAGAACGGCTAAACTTTTTCCCAATCGTATGTCACCAGCTTTGGAATTTACACACAAACAAGATTCAATGAGGGACGATTCAATCGTTTTTCTATCGGACCTACTTAACCTATCTCGTATGATCTCAGTGCGATCCCAATCAGGTAGACTACCACACTTTTCGGCATGTTTCACCATTGCATTGTTAATATTGTGGTTCCTAAAATCTCTCTTGTGCTCCGTTAACCTGTTCTTAAGCCCTCTCGACGTTTCACCGAAATAAGGCTGTGTACACCCCTTGCACGGTATTTTATACACTAAACTTGTTTCACTACGGTCACACTTTTTCTTTTTTGCTACAACCTGACCAATCTTCTCCCCAGCCTTTTCCACAATCTGAATATCGGAGCACTTCAACATCTTTGATAATGCTTCACAATTCTGTGACCTGGGTACAACAACTATAGCGTTCTTTGTCTTCCCGTTTGTTTCGTTTCCCGTCCTATTCCTGATCCTTTTTGCCTTATTATAGCATTCAATTATAAATGCCCTGGGGTACCTCAAACCTCTAAAAACGTCAGTGATATGATCACATTCTTCCTTCAGATTTTCGGGACTACATATTCTCATCGCTCTGAGGAAGAATCCAATCACTACCCCCGATTTCGTTCTCCTGCTATGAGCTGAAAAGAAATGAATATAGTCCTCTTTGTTTGTGATTTTCCTATACGTCCTAAGTTTAGCCTAAGTTTTTCCTAAGTTTAGCCGTTCTTTTGGTGCGGAAGCGTCTTGGGATCTCAATCACATGAGGTCATATGAATGTATTTGAAATTAATTTGCTCTGCTGTACGTGCTGTACCTATTTCGTCTCCGTTTTGTATTTTGTTTTTGTGTGTTTTATTTATATATTTGCACACTGATGAAGTGATATCGAAACCGGTTTGTGCAATATATATGTGTTCACATTATCGCTTTTCACAAACGTCAAACTGTCATACCACATTCCTTTTATTGTCAGACTCGCCAATTCCTCTGCCAGAGTCTGTCTTTAAAAAAGTCGTGTCATGGCAATCGCAACAAGCGCTGCTTAGTAGGGCACCCGGGCCCACAGCCACCCATTCAGCCATTCGGACAAAATTTCTATTAAAAGTACGTTTCATCCTTTGACGCAGGACAAAGCATGTTAGCTGTCACAATTAAAAATCCGCTACGCGCTACGCTACCATATTTCCCAAATATTGCGTATGAACTATGATTGTTGCAAATTGTTATCATACTATAGGGGAAAACGGGGGAACACCGACCCCCTTAACCTTTTAGGGTCTAGTCACGTAATTTTTGGCCAAATCAATCTCTCAAATGATCAAAAGTGATCAATCTCTCAGTTTCATTGGATTGTCGCATCAATGCTACATACATTTCAACCAATTGTTTTCTTGTAGTGTCGTTCATAATTGCATTATTCCACATTTAGTGAGGGCCTACATTTTTTCGGGTTAACACCGACCGTTGTTTAACACCGCCCGAGCTCATCAGGCAAAGAAAGTTGCAGATTGCTGGACTATTAAGGAAAACATCCGAGATATAAGTTGTGAGACCTCTAGAGGATACCAATTCCTGTAAGTTTTATCTCCCTGTAAAAGCTTCTCTGGCACTGAGTCTACATTTTCAGACCGTGGAGAAGTTCACGTATGACGTCATAGGTCAGTGACCTGACGCGACCTGAAAATGCGGTTGGTGTTTCAAGGTTTGCCTTGAATCAAAGCCATGTTTCCTGGTCCCCAGCCGTGTACCAAATTTGAGCGCAATCGGCCCAGCCGTTTTCGAGATCTGGAAACGCCCCCTGCACGTGCGCACTGCGCACGTGCAGTAGCACCCAAGCTGCAACACGTGGGAATGCATTGCCTGGTGGGTGCCTACCTGTATGCCAAGTTTCAGCGAAATCGCCCCAGTAATTACCGAGTTATTAAAATGGGAACAAATTTGACACCTCTTATTGTTGTATTTTGCACGTGCACTGGGGGTGACCCACATGCATCGAGAGTATCCTATTTTCGGTAGAAGGGATGCAGCTACCCTACAAAAATTACCGGAAGACAATCGCCCAAGCGGCTGCTGATATATGAGCCTCTCAAAATCACTACTTTTGCAAAACAGCTTGAACACCCTTGACTTTTCACGTGGCACGTGCCACGACGGTCACTGAGAATTATCAAAAGTAGTCAATTACGGGGTAGAAGGGATGGGGCTACCCAGCAAAAAAGACCGCAGGCCAATCGGTCCAGCGGTTGCTGAGATATAAGCCTCTCAAAAGCGTTACAGGCCGGGTCGGGCCGGGCCGGGCCGGGCCGCTCATACTGAGATTTTTCCGTTACCTAACTACATATATTGAAAAGACTCGCTTCGCTCGCTGCGCTCGCTCGCTCGTAACAACGCAGCAGTTCGATAGACGACAGACGGCCGCTTTGTGGCATATCCCTAAGCTAATATGCACGAGGTTGCAAATCAGCTAAAAAAAAGCCAGTGAGCGCAAGCGAAAGCGAGCTTCCAAGCACTTTTCAAGCAGTTTCTAGCATTGACCTGGTATTCGTCTTAATCGGCGTAATTAACCAGATCCAAGACCAGATCGAAACCAATGACGGGTTTGAAACACCGATGCACAGAAGCTTTTTCGATTTGTGAGTGTGTGGTCAAACGGTAATTGTTGGAGATGAGCAAGAAAACTTCCTAGTCTTTTTTTCTTCTAGAAAAGAAAAATAATGTAGAAATTCTATAACAATAAGTAGAATAGTGAATACGTCTACAAACATTGAAGTTCGTCTGAGTAATACGTGGCACCGATAAAGAAATACTGTGGAACATACGCATTCAGATCATTGCAGAAAAGAATGTCAACTTCAAGCATCGCTAGTTGTGGAGGAGCGTCCATCCGCAGTCAGGCGGACGCGTTCAGAGCCGTCACAGACCAACAGGTGAGAGCACACTCAGCAGTCAGCGCGCGCCACCCGCGGCAGAGCAATGAACTGGCACTTTAGCCAGCCAATTGTTTCAAGTCAGGTCAGTTCAGGTCACTGACCACTGACCAGTGGCCAGTAACTTATGACGTTATAAGTGAGACTGAGCCTCTGCAAGGTCTGAGAACGACGCAACTTCGTAATACCCTCAAAGTCAGAGGAGCTTTCAGAGGGAGAACCTCTTTTCCGAGACCATGTTTGGCCGGAATCGCGATTCGGCGTATGTCGGCTCGCATTAAGGCCTGGCTACACTATGCGTTTTCTGCGTGCGTTTTTTGCGTGTTTGCGGGTTTTGCGTAACATCGTTCTAGAGAAATAAACGATATTACGTTTTTGTGATGTTCTTTATATTCAATTGTAGTTAATATAAGAGTTATAATAACTTCTGCATATAACTAATGTAAAAATTATATTATTTTTTACTTTTTTCTTGAACGATATTAGGCAAAAAACGCAAACCCGCAAAAAAACGCACGCAGAAAACGCATAGTGTAGCCAGGCCTTTAGCCGCGCGTTCGCAAGCTTTTCGTGGTTTCAAACGTTCAGACATGTGATTTGATGTTGCTCCCATGCATTAGGGTGGGTGTCAAGGTCACCTGAAGGTCAGGTCAGGGTCGTTGACCTTTGGTGACCTCGGTTCACTTTTTCGAGTTTTACATGTCTCTAGGCTAGTTTTTGGAGCTGATTTCGAATTTAGCAACATTTGGTCATTTGCGAAGTAGTTTTGGCGCCTTCGTAACATGTTACGAAGCTGTCAGAGGTGGATGACAGGTACTACGAATACCCGTCACGACCCCTACCGGTTGACCTGACCTGACCTGACCTGACCTGACCCGACCTGGTTATACGCTTAACGACATCATCTGTGATCAAAACTAACACGATATTCGTGATCAGCACCCCGGAAAACCCCTTTGCAGCCACACTTTACGACTTTCTAACAGGTCCCGATATTCCCGATTTTTGGTCATTGAACTGACCTGGAAGGTCAACCGATGACCTAGGACCTTAAAGTTGGGTATCATTGGCTTCCTCTCGTGACGGGCAACACGCTCTTTTTTCCGCGAAGCTCTAGCTCCATCAGGGGCCAAACGCGAGAGGGGTCGTACACCCCCCCCCCCCCCTTGTGCCGTCGAAGGACTCAAATGGCCTGTGCCGGCGAGGGTTAAACTATATCAGGCACATGGAATCGTAATTTCATACACTCCTTGCAAGGTGCGTTTCACTTTTGAATCGCTGACCCTGCGTGACGTCATATATGGTTACGGTTATGAGTTTTTCGTCAGTAACTCCCGATCTAATTGAGGTAGCAAGTCGGGAACGCCTCCAACGGACTCAGCAGGTCCGTTGGCAGCAGTAGCCATATTAGTCTTATGCCATATTAGTCTTACATTGTTTAACCCTCGCCCGTAAACGGCGATCTGCCACCTTCGCCCATGCAGGGGGGGGGGGGGGGTTGGTGCGACCCCCCCCCCCTTGGCGTTTGAAAACGGAGCGTCGTAGAGCTTAGCGGAAAAGATCAACGGATTGCTCTCGCCGAGATCTCGCGATTGGTGGTATATTTTTTGGTCCTAGGTCAACATTTGACCTACTTTTGACCGGTCAAAGGCCAAATTTTCGGAAAAATAGACTTTTTTCAACTTTCCGCGGCGATTGCGGCAAAACGGTGGGAGATATCGACTTGAAACCTTCACTATCGTGTTCCTTGATCAATTCTCTATCGGTTGGTATGTATTTCGTTTCCCTAGCTCTAAAAATGGCGCGTTGGGAGCGCCGGAAGTCGGCAAGGTCACAGTCGGCGGCAGAAATCGAAAAATCAAAATTTAAATTTTTGAAATCTGATTGTATTTTTGGATTTGGAAGGTCCATTTGCTCCCTATAGAAGCTAATATTGCTGCATATTCCCATTGAGGTGACAAGAATTAGCAAAATAGTGGTTCGGGCGCTTTTCAAAAATAGTACCGGACGCTGTTCCTCTTGTGACGTCATAGCTCCGTGACCTGACCTGACCCGGTCAAGTTTCTTATACCATATGATAGCCAATACTTGCCCCAACATGCATGGGAAGTTTCATCACGATCCATCAACCGATGTCCGTACCACCGGCAGGAAACCTCGGGCGTTGGCACTCAGTTTGTGAAAATCCGGCCGGAGGCTGTTCCCTTTGTGACGTCATAACTCCGTGACCTGACATGACCCGGTCAATTTTTTTTTTATCAAAAGATGCGCAAGGTTTGCCCCATAAGGTACCCAAAATTTGGCGGCGCTGCGCGCCGCCGTTTTTGCACTATTTCCGAAAAACCTCAGGGGGGTTGCACCAACCCCCCCCCTACATAGGCGAGGGTTAAAAGAGGCCGTGCTACTTATATGGCACGAGAATGTCATTAATATCCTTTGGTGGGATCAGTTAATTCGGCGCTTTTGTGACGTTCAATAATCTGTACATTTCTGTAGGGGGATGTCGTCCCGGTTCTCCCCATGTATTATTCGCCAATCAGCTTAACACTACCAGTGACGTCACTGGTGGATCGCCAATCGCGGCCGTCCGGCCGGCCGGGCCCGTAGAAGGCCAAACGCAGACGTTTTCAGAAAAGCGTAAGCCGTATAGACACAGTCGCGGATGGAGTTTTGCTGTGATTCGGCTCTCCAAGAGTGCGTCAGCGGACCAGAAACCGGTTAAAGGTCATAGCGGCGCCGCTGACCCATGGGGGGGGGGGGGGCTGCTAATTAGTTGAGCCGGAATTGGGATAGGATAAGCCGGTATGGGATTGGGATAGAAACTCAGCGAGACTAAGGGATTGTGTTGTGCCTTCGGTAGGCCCCCCAAAATCACCGGTGTAGTGCCCTCAGGGCCGCCGGTTATGAAGCCTTTGGAGGCACTGGTGTGGGCCCTCACAGGTAGGTACCGGTGTGAGGCCCTCAGAGGCATTGGTGCGGGGCCCCAGAGGTGCCGCTGTGGGCCCTCTGAGGTGCTAGTGTGTGGCCCTCAGAGGCGCCGGTGAGGGTCCTCACAGTTGCAATTGTGGGCCCTCAGAGACACTGCAGTGTGGGGTCATCAACTTCGGGTGTGGGACCCTTAGAGCTGCTGGCTCGAACTCTATAAGACGACAGGGGCTCTCAGAGACCGACAAGGGCCCTCAAGAGGTCTGCGGTGTCTTCAGGAGCCCTGTGGAGTCCTCAGAGACCAGCAAGGTACTCTCAGACGCCGGTGGGGGCCCTCAGAGTCGTCGGTGTGGGGCCCTCAAAAGTCACCGGTGAGTGGCCGTCCGATGCGAAGGTCCCGTCTTAGGCCGTCAGAGGCTCCGGCGTTGAGCCCTCAGAGCCGCCGATATATGGCCTTAAGAAGCACTGGTTTGGGCCTTTGGAACTTCATTCAGGGGTGCCGGTTGAACTCAGAGGTGGCAGTGTGGGGCCCTCAGCTGGGCACCGGTTTGGGGCTTTCACAGCCGCCGGTGAGGGCCCTCGCAGGCGCCGTTATGGGGGCCTTCAATCATTGGGTTAAGGGGTCATCACAGGCGTGTGTGGAACCCTTAGAGCTGCTGGTCCCTGATAGGCCGGTAAGGTCCCTCAAAGGTCGCCAATGGGCCCTGAGAGGCCGGCAAGGGGCCTTCAAATGCCGACAAGAAACAATAAAAAGCCGGTGTGTGGCTCTTATGGAGAGAAGTGTGGCTATTCGGAGCACGTAAGGTGTTCTTTCGAGCCCTGTGGGGCCCTTCTGAGTCGAAAATGCCATCGTGGACCCTCAGCCGCCAATTGGCGTCGCAGGGCCCATCGGGCCCGAGAGGCCCCCTGATCCGATGGGGGCACGTGCCCCCTGCCCCCCCTCCGGGTGCAGATAGAGAATGAAATCGGCTTGCGGGACACAACAATTGCAATCGTTCCTTCTCCCGTCGCGAGGTCGCCCATCCGACCCATATCCCAAGATTGTCAACCCTGGGGCTCGGGTCGGCAATGTATCGGCAAGGAAATTAGCTTTAGGTGGGTAAAAAAGTTACTAAGAGTCATTAGTTGTCGTTACTTTCAGTAATAACAACGATAAAGTGCCAAATGTACCCGACGTACGGCTTGGAGCCGGGCGCCGCGCAGTCTCCACCAGTGACGTCACGCTAATGCTTAGCGACCAGTCCATTGGAAATTGCGGGATGATTCTACCTCTCTTATACGGCCTTGCATTTCTGTGCCTTGTATAGTTAACTTTTGAACTGAAGAAGGAACGTTTCCGAAATATATTCATTCATTTTAGGCTAATTTTGGATTGTTAAAAGATAGTGAGCATACGGTTATTCTTCTACGATATTCAATTATGCTGCTCATTCGAGTACTTCGCCACCTTATTACATTTATCATCGCCTGTTTTACTGACGACGGGCAGTAATAGCCACATGTTCCAGTGGAATGTCCTGAATAAATTGTTACGAGCGAGCGAGCGTAGCGAGCGAAGTGAGTCTTTTCAATATAACGGAAAAATCTCAGTATGAGCGGCCCGGCCCGGCCCGGCCCGGCCCGGCCTGTAACGCTTTTGAGAGGCTTATAGCTCAGCAACCGCTGGACCGATTGGCCTGCGGTCTTTTTTGTTGGGTAGCCCCATCACTTCTACCCCGTAATTGACTACTTTTGATACATCTCAGTGACCGTCGTGGCACGTGCCACGTGAAAAGTCAAGGGTGTTCAAGCTGTTTTGCAAAAGTAGTGATTTTGAGAGGCTCATATCTCAGCAGCCGTTTGGGCGATTGACTTGCGGTAATTTTTGTAGGGTAGCAGCATCCCTTCTACCCAAAATAGGATACTCTCGATGTATGTGGGTCACCCCCAGTGCACGTGCAAAATACAACAATAAGAGGTGCCAAATTTGTTCCCATTTCAGTAACTCGGTAATTACTGGGGCGATTTCGCTGAAACTTGGCATACAGGTAGGCACCCACCAGGCAATGCATTCCCATGTATTGCGGTTAGGGTGC